CCCCAAAACCCCAAAACCCCAAAACCCCAAAACCCCTTACTTTATCGTATTAATTGAACTTTATTAAACCAATGGATAGCTACATGCCTTTAGTCGTTCCATCCTTCCAAGTAAGCTTAATAGTTGACCTAATATATGGGATCTCTTCTAATCAATGTCCTGGGCTATTTAGGCCGGCTCAACCTGACATTCATCTAGGATACTCCCTACGAACAATTACTGCAGAAGCTTTGAGAGCAATATTTTAATATGGGTTATTGAGGATTACTCTGAGTCAGTGTGATAAGGCCTGAGGATGCATCCACAAAGTACATCAATCTTACTGCTTGCTACAGAATTACAGATGAGCTAGATATAGATACCATTCATGAACACATCTGAGGATTTAATAGTCTCAAGAAATCATTTATTGTTAGTGTTATTGAGGAACCAGAGCTTAAATCTCTACAAGCAGCTTCCTTTTTGAATCTTAAGCTTTGTCAAGAAAATGATTGAAATAACCATTGAGAAGATTCGAGAGACTCTTTAGGGTTAGAGTTAAATGAAAGAAGTCCTTCTTATTTTGAGTTTATAGCCAAAGTAAGGGATAAAATATTCCTTCAGCAGAGATAACTAAAATTAATAACTTAAACCATCTTATTTTGTCTAATTTTCTGAGAATAATTCTTATAGGAAAAATACCAGACTTTGGAATCATGACTCGATAGAGATCACTCCTATGAAATTAGCAGCCTCTTAAGATCTCTCTCTTTTCTGACTACAACAGATTCAGATGATGAAATGCCAATAGGATTTATCAAAGGAATTCTATAATTATAACAAAAGTGATTAAAATTATTATTTTTATTATTTTTCAGATTTAATATTCTATTTCCTCCAGAATACCACTTAAACTGAATTTTGGAAACTTCATCTTTACACCATACATATAATTTTTACTTGTGAATTAATTTGAAATTTATTCAAAATCTGATACATTTCATGCATTCTTTGTAATAACCCACAAAAACTATAAAAACCATAAACTCAACTTTTTACTCATTTATGGTTAAAATTTCCACCAAATCTTTCACCTAAACCCTGCTTCCTCCCCTCTTTAGCAACATTCTAAAACTAATGACTGTAAAACCCTTGCTATCAAGATCTTAGTAACTCAAGTGTCTAAATATCCAAAACTAAGCATCTGAAATTTTACCCCTAATCGCATAAGAGCTCAGGCATATTTCTATTAAAGAAATTCCCTAAGCCAGTACTGAAGTCACTTTCCAGAATAAGAGTTTAGCCAGCAGCCCATTTTTGTCCTTGCCTGAGATCGGAGTCTGACCTTACTGAGCTATATAACCCAAATATTTTCAACATGGAAGGGAATAGAGGGGTTTTGGGGTTTTGGGGTTTTGGGG